TAATTTCTTCTATAAAAATTAAAAACAATTTTATTCTAAAATTACCTACTTATAATAAAATTATTTTACAATTGAATCTTGAAAATATACATGTCGCAATAGTTGGCATAAACAATTTATATCTTACGTTAAAAAATTAAGATAAGATTATGTGTACGTGTTCCAGATAAGTTCTAATTAAATTATTTTACAATTAAATCTTTGCGAAAAAATACATATTGCAATATTTGGCGTAAACAATTTATATCTTACTTTAAAAGATAATATTATGTGTATGTGTTCTAGATAAGTTGATAATATATATTGTTTCATGTAGCAGCATAATTCTCGCAGTCAGTGTAGTCTTCTCATTGTAATCATATCTGTATAAACTGTTTTTATATTGTAATAGAAAGCAAAATTTAACATCTTTAGAAATGATTATCAATCCGCTTAACATTGTTAGACTTTTATTGGTGTCAATAAATTCAATATATCTAACAGAAACGCCAGTAACTGAAGCAGAAAAGGAATTAAAGAAAACCATACAAAAATTATTCTTGGATGGTGTTTTTCATTATAATGGGTTGGAAGTAACGGAAGAAATATATCTCGATTATGAAGAACCTTATAAATTACATAGTTCTGAAATAATTGAAGATGACGAAGAAGCATGGAATGAAGATAATTTAAATTCTCATCCTCATTGTTCAAATGATGATACAAATTTTGACAGTTTTTATAAAAGACGAGCTGTTGAGTTTTGGCGACATCGAGATATTAATAAAAACAGTAATGACAAAAAAAGGAATCGTCCTTTAAAAGTAGTGCAAAGTAAATTTAGAAGAGTTTCATCTGAACGTCAGTTAAGGCGATGGGAAGAACAAATAAATTCAGGTGGAAGTCGTATAGAAAAATTATCTTACATCTCCAAATTTACACACGATAAATTTACTGTAGCTGTTGAATCAGGATTCATGGTTCATGATATTGATCTAAAAAAATGGGCTTTACAAGCTCAAGAAGAAATAGGAAATTTAAATCCTATATTTAAAGCATCTCACAGTTGGATAGCAAGATTCAAGAAGTCTCATCGAATTGTTTCAAGAAAAGTTACGAAGTTTATCACTAGAAGAACATTAGAAGATTCTGTTGATTTGCAAAAATCAGCTGATGATTTTCTGGAAACAGTAAAACCTCTTATTGAACAATTTGGATCTGAAAATATTTACAATTCAGATCAAAGTGGTTTCCAATTGGAAATTCATTTTGGAAGATCATTGTCTAACCAGGAAGAAAAGAAAGTAGAACGTGTCGTGCAATCTATATCATCAACAACCCATTCATATACGATACAACCAATAATATCCTGTAATGGCAATTTATTGTCATCTTTATTTATTGTATTAAAAGAAGTTAGTGGTAAATTTGGACCAAGAGTAAAAGAAAATTTATTTAAACCAGAAAATGTCATTGTAAAAGCATCGAAATCTGATAAAATGACATCAGGTATTTTCTTTTCTATTTTCTTTAACAAACTTATTTCATTTTATAATTTAATAAGAGTTATAAAAACTATTATATCATTTATATTTTTTACAGCTCATTTTAAAATGTGGTTAGAAGAAGCTTATTTTGCAAACATTGGTCCTAATAGCGTTCTTCTTATCGATTCATGGACTGGACATTGCCCCAATACTATTTCGGATTTAACCCCTCCAGAAACACATATTACTACTATGATAATACCGAAAAGAACTACGGGGAAAATACAACTATTAGATGTTTATGGATTCAGAATTTGGAAAAATTTTGCTAAAAGATTTTCAGATATGGTTTTATTGTTGGAAAGTAATATAAATTTACATGAACGAAATAATATAATAAAATTGCAATCTTTGATACATAATCAATTATCATCCCCACGATATCAAAACTTATTTAAATATTCGTGGTTTAAAAGTGGTTATATGAATGAAAGACCAGAAGAATTTGAAAATCCAATAAAATTTAGTTTTGACGAAACATCAACAAAATGTGATATTGAAGGTTGCAATAATATAGCTGTAGTAAGATGTTCTTGGTGCAAGAAATCATTATGCTTAAAACATTTTTTTGTCTAATATCATTATTGTAATGTGTATAATGAGTAAATAATATAAAATGTAAATAAATTCATTGTGTAAATAACAAATAAACAAAATGTAAGATGTAAGAACAAAAATAATTGTAAGAGAAAAAATTATAAAACGTTATTCAAAAATATAATGTGTAAAGATGAATAACAGATTTGATTATATAACGAAAAGACAGTGTGTGCTGACTGTGAGTATTAGATTGATACATGAAAAAATGTATACTGTTAACATATCTGGAACACATACACATAATCTTATCTTAATTTTTTAACGTAAGATATAAATTGTTTATGCCAACTATTGCGACATGTATATTTTCAAGATTCAATTGTAAAATAATTTTATTATAAGTAGGTAATTTTAGAATAAAATTGTTTTTAATTTGTATAGAAGAAATTAGATGTTAAAGAAATAATAAGAGAGCTGGGGATATATTTCTGCTTGTCAAGGTCAAATCCAAGGTCACCGTCAGATAGCCAGGAAAAAATCATAAAAACTCAGTACTTCGCATTTTTTCTAGGATTCCTATTTTTCGAGTTATTCTGCTCTTCCGGGACTTTTATAACACCCTGTATAGACTATACAGGGTGCACGATTTATCTGAAGACATTGAAATATCTCGAGAACTATGCATTGGATAAAAAAAAGTGGTTAATGAAAGTTGTTAGTCTCGAAGGGGGACATCCAATGATACCAAACTCGACCTCCCACCCTACCCCCTGGGGGTGGGGGTTGGGGGCAACTTTGAAATCTTAAATGGAAACCCCCATTTTTTATTGCAGATACGGATTCTACGCCACAAAACACGTAAATTTGGTCCGAAACTTTTTTTTTATTCGTGATAGATGGCGCTGTAATCGCAAAAAATTATATTTTCCGCAATTCTCCAGAAATGATCATTGGATTGAGAAATAAAAAATACCTGTTCAATATTTTTAAAGAACATAATAAAAGTTATCCCCCCCCCATCCTCTCGGGGTAGGGTGGGTGGTAACGTTCAAATCTCAAATGGGAACCCGACTCGAAGAGGGAACTGCTCGACGCGCCACTGTGGGTGTATGGCGAACTACGGCTTATTATAAGCCGTAGTTCGCCATACATCCATAGCCGTTACCACCCACCCTACCCCGAGGGGATGGGGGGGAATAACTGTTATTATGTTTTTTAAAAATATTTTTAAAAATATTGAACAGGTATTTTTTTATTTCTCAATCCAATGATCATTTCTAGAGAATTGCGGAAAATATAATTTTTTGCGATTACAGCGCCATCTATCACGAATCAAAAAAAAGGTTTCGGACAAAATTTACGTATTTTGTGGCGTAGAATCCGTATCTGCAATAAAAAATGGGGGTTTCCATTTAAGATTTCAAAGTTGCCCCCAACCCCCACTCCCAGAGGGTGGGGTGGGAGGTCGAATTTGGTATCATTGGATGTCCCCCTTCGAGACTAACAACTTTCATTAACCACTTTTTTTTATCCAATGCATAGTTCTCGAGATATTTCAATGTCTTCAGATAAATCGTGCACCCTGTATACAGGGTGACCCACATAACTCTTAACAGCTGAATATTTCGGAAACTATTTGTCAAATCAAAAAGTTATCCATGAGAAAGTTTTATGTATTCCAGGGGCCTTTCTAACTACATAAATATTAAGTTATTCCCTATCCCCCTTAAAGGGGGGCAGGGGGTAACTTCGCAATTTCAAACGGGGCTCTCTATAAAATGTTAGATGGTTGGGTTCTACGGTAAAAAACAAGTTAATTTTGTCTAAAATATTTTTTTATTTGTCTAATATTTTTTGAGATATTTGAGGAAAACTTGATAACTTTTTCAATATTTAACTTACGATATCTCGCTAATTATTTAAAAGTGGTACTAGACTTTCTTGTTTTATTCAGTCTCAAGAATATATTGTTACAATAGCGCCCTGATTTTTGTTAATTTGATGATTTTGAAATTTCCAAAAATCAGTAAGTTAACAAAAGTCGGGGCGCTATTGTAACAATATATTTTTAAGACTAAATAAAGCAAGAAAGTCTAGTACCACTTTTTCTTCCGACAAATAGTTAGTGAGATATCGTAAGTTAAATATTGGAAAAGTTATCAAGTTTTCCTCAAATATCTCAAAAAATATTAGACAAATAAAAAAATATATTAGACAAAATTTACTTGTTTTTCCCGTAGAACCCAACCATCTAACATTTTATAGGAAACCCCGTTTGAAATTGCGAAATTACTCCCTGCCTCTATTAAAGGGGGGCTGAGAGTAACTTAATATTTATGTAGTTAGAAAGGCCCCTCGAATACATAAAACTTTCTCATGAACAACTTTTTATTTGACAAATAGTTTTCGAAATATTCAGCTGTTAAGAGTTATGTGGGTCACCCTGTATATAGATCGAGAAGGAAGAAATCTATGGATGCGCTGCAGTCATATAAAATATTCACTAGAATTCACTAGAAAATAAAATATTCACTAGAAAAATAAAATATAACTAGTTAAATTAATATACTCAAATATAGAAGCATAGCAATAATCTCTGTAAAATCCAACATTTTTTACATTTTATTTATTTCATATTTGTTTAGTATTACCGTGGAAAATCATACATATCTAAGAATACATTAAAAAGCTATCGATTTTAAACTGCAAGATGGTCCTTGAATTTTTTAATTAACACTATTTTTGCTAAAGTTATGGTTCATTGAATTTTTCTTATTTGTCATAATTAGAAATGTGCTATTTAATTTTTCATATAAAGTATATATGATAAAATATGCTGAAAATAAATAATTTTTAGACTAAATAGGATGCAAAGGTGCGAAATGAAGCTGTACACGATAACGCATAAAAAGATTCTTGTATTTACATCAGTGTATGATATATACTTTGTAATACTATACGTGCTTCAGTCGACGATCTCTTTTGATTTCAACGACGTACTTTTATTTTCTATTGTTTCCTAGAAATGCTTATAATCGCTATACAATATCGCGCATCCGTATCTCGCTAAAACTAGATAACAGGCAGCGTCTCATATGTCTCTCTTTCTCTCTCTCTCTCTCTCTGTTTTTTCTCTCTCTGTCTGTCTCTTGATGCAAACATTTTTCGTGCGAACAAAAACGCAAGAACGAGATCCGCTCTGCAACTTTATAATAATCCTAATGAATAAGCCTTAATTCCTTATTCTCAGCCGTTGCCGCACATATTGTGCTCAATGCTAAGATGAGAATGTCGGGTCAAACGATAATGATCGCGATAACGACAACAGTCGGGACACGGGTTCACGTCGATATGACGTCAATGGCGGCGGTAAACGCTAAGCAATAATATCACAGTGTAGGTTTTTCGTCCGCCGGCTCCTCCTTTATAGGATGAGTGCATTCCATTAGCGCGGGATTTGCCACGGCAATTATGTTGTCTCCTCGCGAAGCTATTACCTGCGCAACGCAATCAGTTATCCGCCATTAATTGTCATTGGTAAATATTGCCACTGCTGTCTCCATCATTATTATTTTTTCTATTAGCTACAAACGAATGTATACGGTCGAGGCCCCGTCACAATGTGAATTCCTACGTGAGGTATTCCTACGGTGAGATTATGCATCATTCAACGATAACAAAAAAGAAAAAAACGCATCGCGAGGACTGTCTAGCCTGTCTAACGACAAATGAAAAAGAAAACTTGCTAGATATCTACGTTCTACGTGTTTTGCAAATAGCTCTTCTAATTAGCAGACAAAGTGACGATAAAAAAGATACATAAGGTAAGGATATATAACGAAGACGTACACAAGCTCACTCGATGCTCACCTTTAGATTGAAATCGCCTTCTTTGTCGGTGTTGTCGGCCTCCGCTTCGTTTGTGTCCTAAAATACGCATGAACACATTGCTCATTTGAATTTCACTCGTTCGCGATAGATTGTTTTCATTTTGTTATTATAGCTTACGTGCATAGACGAAGATTCCTCGTTGGAGAATGAGAACTGGCTGTCCGAGTCGCTGATTTCTTCCACGCTAGCACTGAACATGCCGTTGTTACTCTTCTTCCTCCAGACTGGACTGAAACATTGGGCATACCTGAACATGAATATACACTCATCTAATACATAATGACAATATACCAATGTGAATATACACCAAATCGATATTTACTATTTTATAGTCAAATTTAATATTAATATATCAATTTATATATATATAGATATATACAGGGTGTCCCATTTTATTTTTGACAGTCAAATATCTCGAAAAATATGGAAGGTATGGAAAAATGTTTCAGACGAAAGTTGTATGGTTTTAAGGAGGACATAAAATAACTATATCAGTTTGTTTACAGATGGCACCACTTTTAAAATATCCACTGATCATTATTTTTCTTAAATGGAAACTCGAATTGATTATTACGTCATCCTTTTCTACCAATTAATTTGAACAATCTTTGTCTGAAATATTTTTTAATTGCCTAATATTTTTTGAGATATTTCAGGAAAACTTGATAACTTCTTCAATATTTAATTCACGATATCTCGCTAACTGTTTGTCAGAAGAAAAAATGACTATTATAATACTGAACTTTTTAGTAAGTATTATTAGTCAGCTAATAAATATTATTAGTTATAATTACTAAATACTAGACTTTTTTATTCTACTTGGTCTCAAGAATATATTGTTACAATAGCGCCCTGATTTTTGTTAATTTGATGATTTTGAAATTTCCAAAAGTCGATAAGTTAACAAAAGTTAGGATAATATTGTAACGATATATTCTTGAGGCCAAATAGAGTAAAAAAGTCTAGTACCATTTTCTCTTCCGATAAACAGTTAGCGAGATATCGTAAGTTAAATATTGAAAAAGTTACCAAGTTTTCCTGAAATATCTCAAAAAATATTAGACAAATAAAAAAATGTTTCAGACAAAAGTTGTTCAAATTAATTGATAGAAAAAAATGATATAATAAAAAATTGGGGTTTCCATTTAAGAAAAGTAATGATTAGTGAATATTTTGAAAATGGCGCCATCTGTAAACAAACTGTTATAGTTATTTTATGTCCCCCTTGAAACCATACAACTTTTATCTGAAACATTTTTCCATTTCTCCCATATTTTTCGAGATATTTGACTGTCAAAAATAAAATGGGACACCCTATATATGTATGTGTGTGTACATATACGAAAGCCATTCATTTTTTCCAATATTAAAAAACGAATTGTCTTCCTCGTTAAGTAAGCAAATAAGTAAAATGATATGTACACTCAGAGGCAGGTATGGTGTCCCCCGGCGATGTCGTATACGCCTGTAAAACAATCGAAAGCGATGACAGGCATATACGCATACGCATATGGGCGTACTGTACAGCGCGAAAGAAGTGAAGAAGGAGAAGTGGTGGGAGACGTTTCGATGTTGCATCCTTATCGCACGTCGCACGATCGAGAGAGAAAGCATTATCAGACGTGGTACGGTTAATGGTGTCCCCAATAGCTGTCTCACTCACTCTACGCTTAAATGCAGGGAATATGAGTGAAGCAACTATAGAGACACCACGCTGTTTCTATAGGTGTCTCGCTCGCTCTAATAGCCATGTATCGCGCTTCCCTCTTTTCTCTTTAGCAGAAATGCCGATTAAGGAGGGAATCCTGTCTGTAGACCAGAAAAATAAGCTATTTTCACGAATTTTTTTTCGGAAACTAAGCAGACGATTGATTTCAAACTTGATAGAAATATAATATATGTTTTATTGATAAGAATATATGAAAATAATATATGTTTTATTGATAAGAATAAATTTTTATAGCGTTATAAAAGAAAAAAGCGCGATACGTAGCTATTACAGCGAGCGAGACACCTATAGAGACAGCGCGGTGCATATAAAAAATTAATATTTTTTAATTTCGCTAGTTCACACGATAGATAGACGTGTTTCGAATATGTAACTACATGCTGAAGTCGATCGATCGACTTTTTTATATAAAAAAAAAGGTTTTTTCTCTGGTTTCAGGAGATGCTGTATAGCGTTTCGTTATTATAATTGTAATTTTTATTATTATTAAGAGTCTCCTAATTTTTTTTTATATTTTCAAGAGCGGAGCCTACATTTTAAGTAGCATTTTTATCTTACTTGCGTTTTTGTCCCAGTCCACCATATTTCGAGATTTTATAGGAACCGTAAAACGGCGCGCGTCTAAACACGTCACGTTATTTGTTGTGTATTTGCTACATTATTGTTCATATAACGCTATAAAAATTTATTCTTATCAATAAAACATATATTATTATTTCTATCAAGTTTGAAATCAATCGTCTGCTTAGTTTCCGAAAAAAAATTCGTGAAAATAGCTTATTTTTCTGGTCTACAGATAGGATTCCCTTAATCGGCATTTCTGCTAATGAGAAAAGAGGGAAGCGCGATATATGGCTATTAGAGCGAACGAGACACCTATAGAGACAGCGTGGCGTCTCTATAGCTGTCTCACTCATATTCCCTACATTCAAGCGTAGAGTGAGTGAGACAGCTATTGGGGACACCATTAACCGTACCACGTCTGGTAATACTTTCTCTCTCGATCGTGGGACATGCGATAAGGATGCAACATCGGAACGTCTCCCACCACTTCTCCTTCTTAACTTCTCTCGCGCTCTACAGTACGCCCATATGCGTATGCGTATATGCCTGTCATCGCTTTCGATTGTTTTACAGGCGTTTACGACATCGCCGGGGGACACCATACCTGCCTCTGAGTGTACATCTAAATTTATCTTTCCATTGTATAATATTGACTTTAATTATATATAAAATCGTTGAATTAACTACAATCGTTTTTTACCACTAAATATTCTTAATTGGTACAGGGGAAGATATTATACATTCAGGACTAGTCTCGGCGAATGAGAATAATCACCTCGACGATCTGTGTCTTCTCGGAATGGAATTATTAATGTCCGTGCCAGAACAGCGGAGGTCCAACTCCTCCTGAAACAGTGAACTGCTACAGAGAGTACAAATGGCAAACCGGGAGCGTAAAAGAAGGGACGAAACGAACGAGTTTTAGAGGAGGGATAGATACAAGCGTCATAAACAGCCAAACAGAGCTGAACACGACTTGGGATACCAGGTGCGAAGCGTAGAATCCGCGCAGGTCGTGTCGACCGAATCAGCAACGAAACAATCGAACGAAAGTTTCCATCGCTATTTCGATCAAACATGCAATTTTTCAAGCAAACTTCACGTCAGCTTTTTACAGAAAATGCTGTAATTCAGTGCGAATTAACGATTTAATAACAGCACGTGCAACGCACATGGGGAAAGATATTGGTTTTATTAACGTGACAATGGCACAAATAAACGCATTTTGGTTATGCCGTTGTCATGTTAGTTCAACCGATATTTTTCCTTCCTGTAGGCAAGGAAAAAACGCGAACGATTCGTTTTTAATTGAGAATAATTGCATTCATAAAAATAGAAAAAGAAACTACTCAGAATATCAACGGAGAAAGAATACGTAAACGAGATGAGACTGTCATTTCTCGCATCCTTTTACAGGACAATATCAAGCGGATCGACAAGCAACGAAGATCGAACTTGATTCTCGCCACCCAAGCAAGCAAGCAAGCAAGCAAGTAAAACCTTTGACAAGCTGAATCGCACACGTACATTCGCAAGCAACTATACTTGACCTTTTCCGTCCTCTGTTTCACGCGTTTTCGTGATTGAGTGCGGGTGGTTAATGCATGGCGGGCGTGTGGTTAGTGATTAACGACCATGCGAGCGTGGCCAGGTCAGTGCGATTATGTGCGATCTATTTCTGTGGCCGGGGTGATCTAACCTGCGTCGCGTCCTCACCCTCACCCTCCAGTTCGAGCTTTCGACGTTTCGAGCGCTCACCGTCGGTGTCCTCGCCGTTTTCGCGCGTCCGCGATACCGACAAGCTGAAAAGTGATCGGAATCATTTGAATTCTGCGTCTCTTGATTCTCAAATGATGTTATAAACTACTTGTTCGGAACATGATCCAGACTTGGGAAAGTTAGTCCTTAAAAGTCATTTAAATAAAAATTTCACATTGAAGTAACGCTGTTACCATTCAATAAACACTAACTGACAGCAACATAACATGATTTTTATAATTTTCAATAATGTAACTTTTACATATATGTTGCACTTGCATTGTTTAATGAAGGATTATAACATTGATATAATCCCAGCAAACACAATATTACATGTAACATGCATGTTAGTTGTAATTTCCTACTCACACATGTATATAACATATGTGTTATATAAAAGTTATATTGTTGAGTAGGAAATTACAACTAACATGCACGTTACATGTAATATTGTGTTCACTGGGATGTTATTATGAATTAGTGCAGGGGTTCCCAACCGGGGACACGAAAAAATATTCTTGACGGTGCGAGGCAAAGTGACTGTACTTAATAATGATTAAGATGAATTCTAGAATAATCCGGCATTTTTAGCATCAAATTAAAAAAAATGTTATTAAAATTATATATTTTTTACGTATCTGTACGTATACAGGGTGAGGAAAAAGTCCCGGACCGGTATAATATCTGGAAAACCAAACGTTTTAGAAAAAAATGTTTCGAATAAAAGTTGTATGATTTTAAGGGAATTGATGATGATATGATTTTAAGAGATTAAAGTTGTATGATTTTAAGGGAGACATAAAACAACTTATTCATCATTTTGTTTACAAATGTTACACCATTTTCGAGATATTCTCTGATCATTACTTTTCTTAAATCGAAACACTAATTTTTTATTACACCGTCTTTTTCTACCAATTAATTTAAATAACTTTTGTCTGAAACATTTTTTTATTTGCCTAATATTTTTTGAGATATTTAAGGAAAACTTGACAACTTTTTCAATATTTAACTTGTGATATCTCGCTAACTATTTGTCGAAAGAAAAAGTAGTACTAGACTTTCTTGCTCTATTCTCTCTATAATCTCAAGAATATGTTGTTACAACAGCACCCTGACTTTTAGTAACTTACTGACATTTGGAAATTTCAAAATCATCAAATTAACAAAAGTCAGGACGCTATTGTAACAATATATTCTTGAGACCAAATAGAGCAGAAAAGTCTAGTACCACTTTTCTTTCGACAAATAGTTAGCGAGATATCGCAAGTTAAATATTGAAAAGGCTGTCAAGTTTCCCTTAAATATCTCAAAAAATATTAGGCAAATAAAAAAATGTTTCAGACAAAAGTTGTTTAAATTAATTGGTAGAAAAAGACGGTGTAATAAAAAATTGGGATTTCCATTTAAGAAAAGTAATGATCAGTAAATATCTCGAAAATGGTGCCATTTGTAAACAAAATGACATAGTTGTTTTATGTCTCCCTTGAAATCATACAACTTTTGTTCGAAATATTTTTTTCATAAAACGCTTGGTTTTCGAGATATTTTACCGCTCCGGGACTTTTTCCTCACCCTGTATATTCATTTCACGTATCATTATGCGAAGCTTGATACCATAATAATAATTTTATAATATTAAAATGATAATTAATTTCTATAAAACAATACCATGTGATAATAAATTATTATAAATTAACTTCTTACCTTAAAACCCTAACAACTAATTTTTACCATAAAACGTACGAATAATTTCTTTTTATAGGGGATGCGAAGGTTCATCAATAAATTTTTAAGGGTGTGAAATACAAAAGAGGATGGGAAACCCTGAATTAGTGTTTGCCGGGTGAAAAAATTTGTTTTAATAATAACGACGTTATAAGCAACACGTTCACTTCCCAACCCTGGAACAACATCGCGCTTTGAAGACGATACCGTCCAGATTATCGTTGACTCACTATTGATTCTTGGAATAATGGTAGCCGGAATCTCTGACGACACGACGTGCCAACGGGAAGAGCTCGTCTCTCCTGGTGAGGAGGGCAGGTACGAATCTGCAGATTTGCGCCGCCGCCTCGTTCACGGACACCTCGTGCAACGTGAGAGGCTTCTCCGGCTTTCTCTTGCAATCGAATCGGCCGTAAATCGCCGCGTACTTCCGGATCTCGTCCATTTTGCGCGGATCACTGTCGGACATCGTCATTACCATCTGTAATGTGTTCCAAGTATAGTCGTCTATGTTTTAGAATATCTCGCGCTGAATAAAAGTTTCTAGAATTATGCCTGAAAATTTCAAGTACGAGCGAACGCATTATTGGAATTATATGCGAATTCAACGCGTTGAATGCCAGAATGAACGAGTCTCGCTAAAATCTGGCAGAAAACGTCCTGTAGAAATTGAAAGATCTGGCGGTATCGATTGTCCGGCGAAGGAATCCTGTCAGAGATAAATTTCGATCAACGATGAAAGCCCAAAAGTCCTCCGTCACGGGCAATTATAATGAACGACGCACAATGACGCATGTCGCTTTGCCTCCTCTTAGGGAACACAATTAAAAGCGAGTACGGCCGCTCGTACACACTCACATAGGCACAGTCCTCGAGATCTGCTCCGTATTTCGGGCACGTCCGACGGCCGACGTCGCTTTGAAATTAACGACTCACCTCTAGGTTCTTGCAGAGTTTTTTCTTCACATTGTGCGGCTTGGGATCGAGGGGCCTTATGGTAGCGACGAGTCTCTCCGCGGCTTCGGCTAGCCGTTGCACCTGCGACTGCAGAAGGGTCGGCGTCGGTTGCGTCGGGCTCGCAGGTGCGCCGCCGCCACCGCCACCTCCACCGCTCGGGCTCGGCGTAGTGCCACTGCCGCACGAAGATTCGCACGTTCCCACCTGAAAATGTGCGCAAAGATGAGCAGGCACGTTGACGAGGCAAGCAAAGATGAAAGAACGTTGTTAGCGAAAATTAACCTCCATTGTAAAATGCTAAGTGTCACATGTCTATTTATTTATTTAGCGGACAATGTGATCATTATGAAGCCATCTTAGGATAGCGATTGTGTTACTTTTTTCCCAAGAGTGAAAAACGAACTCGTTTGTTTTCTTGAAGAAGAGTCTATGTCTACTTGTGCTATTCCATTTAATCAATTATTATTTTGTTCATTTAATTATATGATATTATTGATTCCATTTCAGTTAGAAGTTACCCACGATCGCTACCCAGAGTGGGGAATTCGCTTCACATGAGTGAGAAGTCACTCGAATTCGAGCGACTCAGCTGTCATTCCACTTTTCAAGCGGAATTTCAATCGAGAAAGTTCAAAGAGTATATGGACGAATCGTGAACGCGTCGGGGTACGCGACAACGATGGATCTTGGTGATGCGTCTCCTCCCGATCAAGTTTCAATCGCCTTGCTTTAATTACCTGCAGCACATTGGGACTGTGCGAGGTGGCGTAAGGTAAAAGCGTGTTCGGGCTCGGGCTTTGACGGAAGGTCGTCGAGGGTGCCGGTGCGGACACGCTGGTCACCGCTGGTACCACTGGACTGGCGCTCCGGCAGGGCAACGGCGTGAGCGGCACATGGGGTGTCGACACGTACGGCGTCAACGGTGTCTGCGAGGTTGCGGTGAAGCCTGTTGGCAGATTCTGTATCTGCGGCCGTGGACTCGCGCACGCGAAGCCGACGGCGGCGCCGGCGGCGGCGGCGACCGGACTCTTGGTGGCGGTATTTGTCGGCACCACCGGCGTTTGGAACAACGCTGCGAGATACATAATTTGTTTACTCGTAACCGTGAAATTGCCGGAGATGTAGGGACGATTGAATTTCGGGTCAGTGGAGGTTTTTCGAAAAGGAGGGTAGTTGTCGGCGGACCGACCCGAAATTTTTAGAAGATTCGATGTAGCACACAGAGTGGTACTTTACAAGGATTAGTGAGCCACTCCTGCAGGGCTTTCTGAAGCCTCCTCACGTGAAGCGGCTTACTCGCCATGCCGACCAGCGCCATGATCTCCAAGAACTCTTCCTCGCCGGCGTCGCACAACTGTTGCACGTCGTCGCCTCCTGTTGACAGTGCACAACGTATAATTGAAGATTTCATCAATAGAGAAAGGGGGGAATTTAAATTTAAATTTCATCCCGCGAGTTAATTCCGTAAGAAGAGACCAAAATTTAGTTGAGAGCAAATCTTAAATTTGATGAAGACTCAACTGAATGCGAAATCGAATCAAGACTTAACACTTATCAAGACTAAATTTATTAAGACTCGAATATTTAGGGGTTGTAATTTACGTTCTCGTTGCGCACGTACCCATTTCGAGGAGCGTGTCGTAGTATCCTAACAGCGAGGCGCGCTGCATCACCCTGTACAGCTGCAACTCGGCTTCGTTTTGCGGCACAGACGTCTGCACCACTGCAAGTCACAAATCGTTAAAGACGTCGAGAAACATCTAATAATAACGTAAATAGCGCGTAAATAGCGACGACACCGATGCTAACGATCATGCGATCGGTTCGCGATGCTGACCAGCGGGAATAAGATTTCAATGCAAAATCTGTATATAATTTCGCAGGTTCATTACGTGCTGTACCAAATCTGATTTTCTACGTTTGTGGCGGTGAAATCAGTAGCTTCCATGCGCTTTGCGTGCGGTGACATTGTCTGATGGCCAAGCTGCATCACTGATGGGAACAATTGCTACTCTTAACTGGTCCTTCCAGTGAGACTTTATTGATTGTAGTGATATACTTATAACTGGACCACCGGTTATAAATATAACATTTCAGTGAAGAACATACTGCTTATACTTCAGACAATCGATATCCCCGGATTTCGATATTACAATCCTTCAGAAAAGTGTCCCACCGCTTTGCAGGTGTCAATTAATTTTCTTTCCGAGACAATACGAGATACTACTCGTACACGTTCATCATATTTCTATATCCGAAACTAAAAATTGAATCTAATGTAATAGGTGAGCAAAAAAGTTCTGGACTTTAGATTTCATACAAGCAAAACCATAATTTAAATTTTACTTATTCTCCCGTCCTTTTACGGTTTTAAAGCATTGGCCTTTTAAAATGTTATGCGGTTTAGCGTTTGACGCACATAACTTCAAAAATCAGTAGTATTCATGATGGCAATAACAAAGAAGCGTATTCGATTTTTCATCCATTTCGCGTTTTATCTGAAGAAATATGCTGCTGAAGCCGCTGAGATAATTTGTGCTGCATATGGTGAGAATGCTGTAAGTCATTCTACGTGTAAAAGGTGGTATCAAAAATTTCATCAAGGAGATTTCAGTCTTGAAGTTGAACCGCGTGCTAGATGTCCTCAAAAGATCGAAACGGACGAACGTAAGCATTGCTGGATATAAATTCTGTACAAACTGAAAAGGAGCTTGCAGAACAATTTGGCGTTACGCGGCAAAAGCCATTTCCGTACGTTTATTGCAATGAAAAAGATTTAGAAGGAAGGCAGATGGATTCCGCATGAACTGTCCGAAGACAACAAAAATCGACGGTGTGACATCGCACTCACTTGCTTTCAAAGTTTCGGAAAAAAGATTTTCTGCACAAAATCATTACAGGCAATGAAAAATAGATTCTTTATGACAACCCCAAGCGCAAACAATCATGGCTTGACCCTGATTAACCTTCGACATCGACGCCAAAGCTCAAAATCCACGCTAAGAAGGTTCTGCTCTGCGCCTGGTGGGATTGGAAAGGTGTATTGTATTATGAGTTGTTACAGCCAGGTGAAACAATCATGGTAGACTGCTATCAACAACAATTGATCCCAGTTTGAGCGATGCGTTGGAGGAAAAGAGGTTATTTACTAGCCAAGAACGTCGTAAAGTAATCCTGCTTCGTGACAATGGCCGACCACATGTTGCGAAAGCGACTTAGGACCATATCTTAGCGTTAGGCTGAGAACTTCTTCCGCACGCGGCATATAGTCCAGACATGGCGTCTTCCGATTATCACCTATTCCGGTCGTTGCAACATTACTTGGTCGATACACATTTCGTGTACACACTTGAAGAGATACGAAAATGCATAGATGACTTTAGAGTCTCGAAACCGGTGAGCTTCTATCATCAGGGAATTCGCAAGCTACCCGAAAGATGGCAAAAGGTCATCGATGCAGACGGGGAATATTTCATTGATTAACATCTTTTGGTTTGTTTTTAAATAAAGATTGAATTTTGCAAAAAAAAGCCCAGAACTTTTTTGCTCACCTAATATTTCACCGTCACAGAACATGCGTTCCAATTGATTGAAACATTCGTTCATACGAAATTAAAATCTAGTCGATGTAAATAAACTCGAATGAAACATTCACTTTTGCGACTTCGAGCGGCAGTATTTGTTGCTTCGAATGAGGACACCGCCACTTTGCCTTCGTTTTTAATGAGATTTTATTTCAAGAAATTTAGAGAGTAGAGAGGCAGATTTAACAATTAAAGAGCAATTAAAGGAATTGACTGAGAAGAAATTCTCGAGAATACTCTTGCTCTTCTCGCTCGGCCAAAAATATCGTCGCTAATCGTAACTTCTCCAATATCAACCCCTCCAATGTCACACGATAGGCATGACCCTCATCCCACCAGATGGCTATCGTCATCGTCGCAACTGTGCCGGCACGATCGCGCGAATCCAGGCGAGGAGCCAGCCGCCTGAATGTTCGACTAGTTTCTTGCAAATTTCGAGGAACTGCAAGAAAAAGCAGCGTGCACACACGTACCACGTATAAATTAATACCGGTGTGCCGACGTCGGCGGGCATGGGAGGGGGAGGCAGGAGAGAGAGGAGAGCGCAGGGTAAACCCGAAGAAAGAGTGAAGGTACAAGGAGCAAGGAGGAGAATCAGAGAGAGTGAGTGAGCGAGAGGGGTTGAAAAAACTGGCCGACGGGTCTTATTACGAGCCCGGGTCCCGGTCTCACGCTCGTGCACGCGGCCTCCTCTCGGGCCCGCGAATAAGTCTCCGCCGCCGCCGCCGACGACGACGAAGACGACGACGGCGGCGGCTGTTGCTGCGACGATGGCGGGGTGGCGACTCGTTCCGCGGGATTTTTCTGGCGCGATCCGCGCGCCCCGCGAAAAAACGGTCTACGTGAAAGCACTGTCTCGGAGTCGCGCGGGTCAGCGGGATCGCGGCTCGACGAGGCGATAGAGAAGAGGGAGAGCGAATGGGAAGGGAGAGAAAGGAGCGCGCGTCACCAGTGCGCTACTCTTGTAGTCGCGGCAGGTCGAGTGCGCGATCTTCGAGGACGCGCGAGTGGACATGCATTGTCTCAAAGAATCAAAATCTCCAAATGACTTTTCGGAATAATTTGTCCCACTTTCTGCATTTTGATATGTTCTTAAGGCGAGGAGGAGGAATTCGCACGATCGACCTTCGGTTCTGATCTTCGAGTCCATTTGGTTGTTTCCTCTGCAGAAGAGGAAGACTCAGATTCGTTCAACTAAGATCAGTCTAGGGTTGGGAAAGTTACTTTGTAAAAATATCTAGTTACAGTTATAGTTTCTTTCACTGAAGAAGTAACTAGTTATAGTTACAAGTTACCGACCTTTAAAAACAACGTGTTACAGTTATAGTTATTTAGAAAATAATGAATCGTACAAAAATTATATCAATTAGTTCTTTAGTTTTGTTTTTAACCCAATTTAAAAATGGAAGAGCAAGACGTGCACTTCAGACATATTTTATTGTATTATTTCCGAAAAGGCAAGAACGCATCGCAAGCAAGAAGTTATGTGTCATATATGGGAATGAAGCCTTGAAAGAAAAGTAGTGTCAAAATTGGTTTGTCAGATTTCGTTCTGGTGATTTTTCATTGAAAAATGCTCAACGATCTGGCCGTCCAGTTGAAGTCGATGAGACCCATATCAAGGCCATTATCGATTCAGATCGTCATAGCACAACACATGATATTGCAGAGAAGCTCAATGTATCGCATACATGCTTTGAAAAAAATTTAAAAAAGCAAATTTAAAATTTTGAATTTTCATTCTTATTTAAAATCCGCAATCACTTAGTTGCCAACCCAATAGTTTGTTGATTATTGTATTATTCCTCTTATATTATTCCTTGTATAATTTTTGCAAAGTAGATTCATTAATTTAAATAAATAATTCGTATTTATCCTTTAAGACTATTAATAACAACTGGACAAAGAAATGCCCAGTTGTTCTCGTTTCCAAGTTTTTGCTGTAACTCGAATATTTCTGCATATGCTAGCCATAGCATTTTACAATCCTTTCCCGAAGATAGAAATATGTTTTCTTTATTGCTTGAATTTTTTATATAACTGAAACCACGCAGCGCACTTCGTGCTGAACGCAGGTTATATTAACAAATAAGGACAAGCGACGCGCGACTGAAATGTCCAATAGGCGTACAATTTTTTTGAAAGAAATACAGATTGCTTTCAGAGAGGAGACTATCAGCACTATTGCGTCATTTATCCTTGTTTTACATCCAATGAACGATAAAGATAGATGATACGATAGCACATTTTCCGAATGCAGCCAGAATAACCATATGCTTATTGAATATCAACCATTGCACGTCGCGTTATTGTGCTAGTCTGCCAGAAACTTAAGTTTGAAATGTATAAAGTAGCTATTAAAGTGACTATTAAATTAGTTACTAGTTATCAAACAAATGTAACCAAGTTAAGTTACAGTTATAGATAGAAGAAAAGGAACGAAGTTATGTTATAGTTATAAAAAAAATAACTGCAACTTCGTTATAAGTAACGAGTTATTTCCCAACCCTGGATCAGTCATGACACTCAATTTTTTCTAGTGAACTATACATTTGTTGAAACGATAAATACATTCTCTTCGCGAATTATGATGCAATTGTTGGAAACGACGAAGAAAGAGACGCGACAAAGCCGCACAGGACGTCATGCAACACTCGCCGCTTTCGCGCGAAGATTCGGCAGAATTTTCCTTGGATTTGGTGGCGTCGCCGTGGGGAATCCAACGCCAAAGATTTCCCCCGCGAGCGATTTTTTCCTCTTCATCGAGAGTCCCACTCCTCCGTCGCGCTCTTATTATTATTGTCGCTCGCAATTTATTTATAATCGCCGTGGCTGACATCTTATTCTCGTTTTCATGACCTTATTAATACCGCGCGTATGTGATATACACGTTGTTGATCAGCTACCGAAGCCTGTCATCCGCGCGGCGACACTTCGATCGAGCTTTTGTTAAAAAATAAAACCACGCGCAATCGTCCGCGCTCATCATCAACTTCACGCCGCATTAACTATATTTATTAATAATTTCATCCTGCATTTATTTACTCGACCTAAATTGAGGATTGCGCGCCAGGTGCGCTTAGAGGCGCACTTACCCAGGACATGCGAAATATGCCGTACGATTTCAGCATCTCAACAG